AGGACTCACAGAACGAAATGAATCCAGTTTCTTTTACCAGTTTCTCGTAATCTCACTGTGTGTTGAAAACTTAGTTTACAAGGGCTTAACTTTGATATAATTTCGTTGGTAACCTTGGATGCCTATTTCTTCACATTCCATACCGATGAAATAGACGTATTTACATCCTTGTGAATGATAGCTGTTACTCTGGAATTAGGATTCAATACTCACTGTGCTTGAACGTCAGTTCGTTAGACATTGTCTAATAAGTCACAGTCCTTACTAATTCAACAAATATGAGTTATTCTTCATTGTTACTTACGTTTTTGGCGGTTTATTCTACTAAGTTAAATTAAGCAGTCTCTCTTGGTGAATCGTCTACAAGAACATATGCCTTGGTGCATGAAAAGTGCTCATATGATATCAATTAAAATGACACAGGTGAGAAAGAATATTGTTTTCGTAACTTTACTTCATAGCTATACAGTGGGTATACAGTGTCCTAGAAGGTCGCATACATGCTCGTAAAGGTTAGTTATTCATACTACTTGCAGACAAAATATACGCAATTTCGCATCACAAAGAATAAATGAATAGATTACTCAACTTGGCTAAGTAGTCTTACGTAATGTCAAAGCATTAATTGGCTAATAACGTTCAGAAATGGTTACCAATAAAAGTGCTCGGGAACAGGCAAGTTGTTCATAATAGTGAGAAATTCAGGTATAAGGTATACTTGAGGAGGTAGGAAGAAAAAAGCAGAAGAACGAATATGTATTACACACCAGCTTGTTGTAGAGTTGAGATAAAAAAGGATTAGAACCACAGCAGTAACAGGAATTGGACAAATGGCCTTTGTAGAAAGAATTTGGGAGTATGATAATGCCCCCAATCGTGATGTAAGGTGAAACTGCAGTTGGTAAGTTATAACCATTTCTAATACGTTGTTGTCACCTACCTGGGAAGCGTCGTTTTAACTACAGGCGGAAATGACGAGGATATCAAAACAGGAATCGGAAAAGCAAGACAAGCTTTCACTACTCTCAAGTCTGTGTGCAGGTCAACAACACTCAGCATCAAAAATAAGATCCGGATTTTCAACTCCAATGTGAAGTCAGTCAGTGCTACTATACGGATCAGAGACTTGCACTGCGCGTCATAAACAGCATCTCAAACAAACTACACACTTTCATTAACAGTTGTCTCCGCTCAATACTCAAGATCAGATGGCCAAAAGAGATCAGCAATAGAGATCTCTGGCAATGAGCGAACCAACCCAACAGGAACCGATTGTGAAACAAATAGGCAGGAAGAAATGGAGATGGATTGGCTGGCAATACTCTGAGGAAACCATCAAGTGATATCACTAGACAAGCCATTGCTCGAGTGGAACCCGAAAGGGAAGCGGCGAGTTGGTCGTCAGTGCAAGGGTGACTTGGAGGAGGTCATGTGAAGAGGAGATGAAAACGTGTGGGCAGACTTGGAGCCAGGTGAAGACTCTAGCAGAGAACCGAACGCAATGGAGACGCACGGTTGAAGCTCTATGTTCCTTTAGGAATTAAAGGAAACAATAATAATAGCATTTTGAACTGTTCTGCAGTAAAATCAGATTCCTAGCTGATAATACCCTCTCTTTCTCGACGAATATTTTATCTCTTTGAGATTAAGTATGTCAAAATATACTTTTCGATATTCTCATTTCAAATATAAGATTAACTTTTCGAATCATTCTTATGCGTTTAAATGCAAGGTTCGTTATGTTTTTTCTGGACAGACGCTTTTTAAAGTGGCCTGTCAAACCAGTGTTGATAGGAAACTGATGTCTTATTTAAGATGTGGTTACTGTTTCAACTACTAATTTGCTAAATGGCAGATAATGAGACATTTCCTTCGGGAAGATAACACAGTTTTATGAGTTTGAATATAGACCTATAAATTAGGTGGTAATCAAGAGTGAACTGTGATTCACTTCGGTTTCCTGCTGTTGTTAACACTTCTCATTTTTTTTAGACTGCAGTCAATATCACTTATCTCTGAAGTCATAGACCTGAGTACTTATGTGTTCATTTCATGACTAATCATCCTTGAAAATGAAGGATGTACACAGATAATTCTGAGGATAAAAAAACACAGTGAAAGCATCTTAATTTAGGTGTTAGTTACTTGTAATGTAGTGAAGTCCAAAAGAAGTAAAAGTGAAGTCGACATTGTAACTGTAACATGTCAGAAAGAAAATAGGACAAAATAAAGTGAAGTTTGATTTCTTAACTAGGTTGTATTTCAAGATGCAAAAGACTATCATGAATGTTAGAGAGCCGTGAGGGGTTATTTCGTGAACAGGAGAAGAATCAAAACAGAGGGGAGCAAAACACATGAAAAGTCATAAATCCAATTTGCAATTTCCACATTTCAAGGTGAAATATCATTAAACCGAAATTATTGATCTGCTTGATAACATAAATGGAAATCAAGAAGCCAAGCATAAATGCGTTACTCTTTATAGCACTGATTGACTAGTATGAGTAGTTGCATATCACCAACATCAACCAGTACTCCTTTCTAGCCAGATCCTCGAAGTGACCCAATGGTCGGATAGCAGTTCGCTCGTTTGAGGCTAAACTCATAAGCGGTGTACCCAGTTCGACTCAGCTCATACAACCACATAAGTTTACACCATTCAGTTTATGATTAGGTGTTCAATTTCACCGCAGAATGCGCAGATTGCGAATTGAGAATTTGCCTCATGATGTCGCCAGTTCATCGAAGTAGCTAGTCAGAAATCAAGCGGGTTAAAATAATTTGGTTCTCAGGCCTGAGTTAGACTGGGTGCATCTCTAATGAGCTCCACTTTAAACGAGTGAATGCGATTCGGCACCGAAGAAAACGCTGTATATGAATCTGAATTTCAGGGGAGAATTGGCAGCCGATGTCCTAAAAAAGAGAATATCCAGTTCTTTAAAGAAGACCTTCCCTGAACAAACACTAAGGGTGGCGTTCTCTAGCCGCCCAACACTTAGAAACAATGCGGAGGACAAACTCTGGCATATGACGAATTTAATGTGCATATACCAGTTTACCTGGTCGTGCGGAGCTAGGTACATAGGTCGTTGTATGCGCATCCTTTAAAAACGTCTTAGAGAACATTATACAGCGTGGCTACAAAGAGGAGGCACCGGCTCAATCAGAAGTGTCATTATTGAACATTTGATCAACACCTCCCACAACATCTCAACTGATTCATTCAAAATAATTTATGAAGTCAACAGAAACTTACCAAAAGCAGTATGTTTCCGACTTCTCTGTACTGCAGAAACCCTCGCAATATGCATCTAAAAGCCGCAGCTGTGTGTTCAAAAGATATTAGTCCAATCTCTACAACTACCATGGACCTAGTTCCGTATGTTCCCTGAGCTTCCTTTTTTCTTCTTTCGTTCTCTTCTTTTGGTCTTTTTTTCGTTCGCTGTGTATGTGATTCTTACTCCCTCTGTCTTCATTAGATTCACCCTATTTTTTCAGTTATAAAAACAGTTATTTTAATTTTAATTCCATGCTTTTCCTGCTCATATTTATAATTCGTTTAAATTAACTATTTTACAATTATATCCTAATCCTGTGTAATTTTTGTTTCTTAGGCTCTTGTAATCTATCTTCACACTTCCTAGCTTCCATTTCAAGTTGAAAATTATTATTTCAATTTGTTTCCATGCTCATTTTCTGTACACCTATAATTAGTTCTTATCCTGTGTAATTTTGTTTCTAAGCTTCTCGTAAAACGTATCTAGTTGAAAATAATTGTCACCTTTTATTCACCTTCGCAATTATGTGGAATCGAGTAAAAAATTTGATTCTAAGTAAAATTGTGTATTTAAATGTGATTGTACAGCTTTTGAAAATGAAATCACCGAAAAGGTAGTTATCTTTGCCGAACTTCGTGTTCTCTTCTTTCTAATGTCCTAATGAGTGATTTGCACGATCTTAAACGAGTGAAACAGTCATCCGATGTTTAGGTCACTTCGATCTGGATGGCCAGCTAGGATAACAGGTTGATGTGGGTAGTATACTACTATTCATTTCAGCCAATCAGTAGTATGTAGCGTCATGAAAAATAACTCTGAAGTATTACTTTTTAGATTGTAAAACATATCAAATGGAATTTCTGTTTCTCTCTGTACAGTACTTCCTAAGGTTTAAATACTTCTTGCCTTTTTTTAATACGTTACCAGTCTTTTTCATTCCAGTACGTTCCCAGTGGAACATAGGACTTCAACCTACAGGCATGAAGTTTCTGTAGCAGTGGAATTTATTTCTACGGGATGGGATTGTTAGCCTCATGGCCAATCTTCCTTCTTTACCAGTCTTATTACTAGCTTAGCGAGGTAAAGGAGTGAGTCGGCCGGGGATCGAACCCCTGACCACATGTGTGGGTAGTTACCGTTCTACCGCTGTGCCAATGACACACGTTACTAGTTTTACTTCATCCGAATATCTAAAGCCCCTGTAAGTACAGCACCCGCTCTAGTTTATTTGTTTCACGAAACTCATAGAATGATGCACAAAAAGATAATCACGGAGCAACTAACTAGTCTTTCTACTGTATAATTATTATTTAAGAAAAATTGAAATTCATTTGAGTAAGTTTAGTTTATCTGTTTTAAGCATGGAAACCTACTGATTCGTTTATAACATTTATTTATATATGACCGATACAAATAGGTACGGGTATACTATGATGTGTGTAAGCAAATGTATATTGTTAAGTATCCTAGAGTTGCACAGAGTTAGACTACACTATAGGCTATATCGATTTCATTGTAGCTAATATTTACTCATCAACCAAATCAAGAATGTTTGTATCTTTCGTTGTTTTTTTCACTCTTTCTCTATCTCTCTAAACTTTTATGTTATCTAGATGGTGTAGAAAGAGTTGTGCAAGTATCAGTTTATGAGTGTATGCTCTAATTTATGCACCTATCCTTCATGAACATGCACTTACACGCACACACATGCACACACTAACACACGCAGGGACGCATACATACACTGTACCATGCTCACTTACATACAACACACACTTAGAGAGAGAAGCACGTGTACACAGTGATTGTAATTCATCAATAACACAGTTTACTATTACTCTATTAAGAATCAACGGTCGACTATTCACAGTTAACAAACAACAGATGACCAATATATACACATACATATGCACCCAATTCATATTTTTATGTATAAATAAAAATGTATATAAATACTGTATCAAGTAAAACATTCTAGGTTAGAACTGCTTTCGTTGAACTCATTCACATAAACAATAATTGATAATTGAGAAAAGAAAACAACAACAAAAACAAAATAAACATGGCCAGTACAATGGAACAATTCATTACAGCCTATCTAACAATTTGTCGTGAAGGTGATGATGTTGCTGATAAGAAAGAATTAATTGATTATTGTAGAAAAGAAAGAATTGATCCGAGAATGGTTGACGTAAGTAAATGGGTGTTTATTACGACTATTACTTCTTTTTTTATCGTGTTTTATTGCGCCTTTATTTTTATTGGAATTGAAAACAAACAAAAGTTGTATTCATTTTTAAGAAATCACTTTTCTTCGATTGCGTAATTGTATAAATGTTATTGTCTCTACTGTAAAGCGAATGAATCAGCCTGACTGACTTGAGATTTTCGTTTACCCCGTAGAGATCGATCGAGAGATGTAACGAAATGGCTTAGTTGAATTCAACTACTTGACGATGATGCAATAATAATAACAATAAGGCTTTATTTCCGACAATATGTCAACATATAATACAGAGATTTTCAGCGTATTTAGTTGCCACAAATTTCGTTTTCGTACAGGATTTACGTCGTAAAGTATTGTTATTCTCTTGCGTTCCGTGTGGAACATAGGGCTTCAACAGCACATCTCCACTTTGTTTTGTTTTCTGTCGCCCTCTTCAGCTGGGTCTATGATTGACCAAACTCTCTCATCTCTTTCTCACACGATCTCCTCTATGTTACCCTAGCACCAACGACCAACTCGTCGCTTTTCATTTGGATTCCAGTCGAGGGCCTGGCGTGCGATGTCACGTAGAGACCATTTGATATATAATTACATGATTAAAACAATAAGACATGAATAAGAGTTAAAGCATATTGATGAATGGAAATTCTGAGAGTTCAGGGATTCAAGCAGGCCACCAAAACAGATTACATTATCACTAGTATGCTCAATTCACAGATAACATTCCTTCAATACTTAATATTCTTTTGTGCACTTAAGAATAAGCATATAAATATTTGGTCGGTAAAACTTACACTAACCATAGCATGTAGTGAGTAATAAGCTTTTAAGGAGCTTCTGCACATACACACGCACACAAACACACACGCATACACATATATACACTGTTATTCCCTTAGGATTTGAATAAAACTGAGTTTGATGGTTATTACTTGATGATTTCATAAAATACTACTTATTCAATCATCTATTTTCAATAATTCTTTCATTGTACAAGGTCTTTATCTTGTCTTTTTTCTATTTCTTGAAAAATTCTCTACATTTCAGACATGGATTTCTCATTTTGATGTTGACAAAAATAATAAAATCACTCTGGAAGAATTCTGTCGTGGTTTAGGCTTGAAACCAGCTGAAATGTAAGTCACTTTTTCAAGAGATTTATTCACAGGCAAATATTGTGAATTTTGCGCGATAACATTCATAATAATATTAATAATAAAGTAGAATTCAATAGAATGAATAACTAGGTGACGATTAGGAACAGATTACTGTAAGTAGCTCTGTAGGTGTTGAATAATTATGGCTGAAAAGAAAACTCCGCATAGTAGGGTTGACCTGAAACTGATGGTTTATTCCATTTTTTTATTTTGTTATTTTCCTTAACAATAAGAAATTCTTATTGTGACTTTATTGCATAAGTACACTTTTTGAGCAAGACAGTAAGCTTGTAAATGAAAGTAAATATTGAAAGTTTATATAACTCTGTGATTATTATACCAGTGACACCATGTAATAATGCCAGTGGGAACTTTAGCACAAGTTTAATTTATGGTGACGTAACTTGATATCCTACTGATACCGAAGGAAATTTTGACACATTAAAGTTATGTGTAAAAGCATTCTGATATTTATATATATATGTATTTTTCAAACCTTCTTTTACTTAATCTGCTCATGACGCACCTCAAAGGTTCTTAGAATTTCGATAGATTTCAAGGCGCTTATTGTCAGAAAACAACATAAACTAGCGGATCTTTGAAAATCTTAAAGTATTAGACTGGTAATTTGCCAAAATTCAATGATTCTTACGGGTTGGTCACGGACTGATATCAGTTAGAGAACCATTGAAAACCAGGGAGTACTGGACAGCTGCTGTTTCATCCGTGATCAACTCGTAAAAACATAACAAACCCTTACAAACCAAACTATAGAAAATCAATGATTCTTCCCTAGTGGACATTGATGACTCTGTAAGAAATAAAGCTCAAATTATTGCTGAGCTATTTAGCCGACCATTAGGAATTGTAAAACATAATCAGATCAGCTGTAGCCTACTGGCTGAACAGTAATACATATATACATATATGTCGAAACCCAACAGTTCTGGGTTCGCCATTTCTTTGAGGAATCCTAAATTCAAACATAGCCTTGCATTCATTACCGCATTGGTTAACAAGAATTCTTTAGAAAGTTTCAGTTTGTGACAAAGATTATTTCAGGGTGGCCAAGTAACGTTTTTCGCGGATAATGTCTTTTAGATGATTAAAGCTAGTGATCAATCTGTCAGATAAGTCACACGGTACCAGATTAGTAGCACACACGTTATAAGTAGCCTAAACATGTTTACGATGCTCATCAAAACTAAAACTAGATTTAATTTATAATTACCTAATTTTTTATTTTAGGCGAAGTGAACGAACTCACCTGAAAACTGTTCAATCCGGTAGATCACCTAAGATACCTGATGGAATTGAAGTCATTGCTTCAACAATGCCAGTACCAAAACAAGTTGAAATAACCCAGTTATTTAAAGAAATTGCTTCTAAAGCCACTGGAAATGATCCAGATATGCGTAAAGTTGCTAATGACTTTAAAGCTAAATTAGAAGAACGCTATGAACGTGTATGGCAAGTAGTTATATTGACTGGTTCATATTGGATGAATTTTTCACATGAACCATTTCAATCACTACAATTTAAACTTGACAAACATGTTGTACTTATCTGGCGTACACCAAACAATTAGGTGAATTTATAATATTACTATGAAAAATTATCAATAAAAGTAAAAGAAAGCGAAAAATGACATTTCAGTAAATCAATAATAGTAACAACAAAGGATGCCAACCAAGTTCAGAGGTTACATTCAAAATAAAAAATCTCTTTATCCAAAAACAGCTAGCAAAAACAATCATTTTTCACAAAAAAAAAACAAACAAAAATATTCCCTTTTCAATTATGCAAACAAGTTTTATAGTATTCATAATAAATTCTGTTTTTCTCTCCAAAAGTTATTAAATTAGTAAATATATATGTATTGTGTATATTCAACAGGATCTTTTCTTTTTGTACCCTTCGAAGTTTGAAAGGATGGCATTTATCTAAGTTTGTATCATTGCTTTTATTATCTGTTGCTTGTGTTCTGCATGGAACATAGGGTTCCACAAGGATATTTCTATTGCACTCAGTTCCTTGCTATTCTTTGTTCAACTAACATCACTGCTTTTCATAATCTTTCATTTCATCTTCACCTATGTCTTCCATGTCACCCTCAGAAGCTCAACTCGCCACTTCTCATTAGGATTCCACTCGAGAGCCTGCCTGGCTCTTGATTTCACTCAACCATCTCTCCTGGTCATATGCCCAACCCATTTCTATTTTTCTTTTTTGAATAATTGTTGAGTGATAGGTTCTTAGTTGTTTTGTTGGTAGAGTCAGTTGTCAATTATCCTTCCTTGTCAGTCATCTAATCTTAGGTACCGAGCCAGCGAAGGTGGATGCTGATAAGCATCTGCAGTAGCCTCTTAGAAATGCTTTTCGAGATACCCGCGCCATGTCTCTGGGCCATAGGGAAGCATAGATTTGGTACAGGAGTTGAATATACGGGTCTTGTTCCATGTTCCCGATGCATTAGATCCCCATGCTGATTTAATGCTGATGAAAGTCCATCTCGTCTTTCCGATTACGGCTGACTATGACACCCTCATCTGTTCCGCCTCTAGTTGAAACGATACTGCTTAGATAAGTGAAAAAGTGGCTTTCTTTAAATTTCTACTGTTGACAATTGGTGATAATTGTTGTTGTTTAGGTGTCTTAATCACCTCTGTCTTCTCTCTATCCGCTTGAAGTCCTGTCACCGTTACCTCTTCTGCCAACTTGTCGGTTTTTGCCCGTTGATCTTGGGGTTTGTGTGAAATTGGACACAAATCATCCGTGAAATCTAGATCTTCATTGGTCAAACGTAGGCTCATCTTCTAGCTACCCACTGACTGTTGCATGGTCCACTGCATCACGATGAGGAATATCATAGGTGAAAGTGAAGGAAACTTAACTATCAGAGGAGGAAACAAAGGAAACAATCGACCGATCACTTCAAAGGATTCCTGAATCAACCATCACCTGAAACTCTTCCAGAAATGGCATCATTATCCACAAAACTGATAGTGACCACCAATCTTCCAACAAAAGCAGAAATATTTAATGTCATAAAGTTACTGATAGCCAGAAAATCAGATGGAACTAGTGAACCATGTTGAGTTGCTGTTAGTAATAGTACACTTATTAATTGATCGAAGATAACAGCTTCAAGTCAAACGAATGCTGATGAAGCATCAGTATAGTTAAGCATATTACGTCAGTATATTTGCAATAAGCTTTAACACCTGTTAAATTTATTAAACCTCAAAACGTATAAAGTAGTTCTGCTAAAGAATTCTTGACTTAGAAAGCATAAACCTTCAGGAAAATCTTGTTTTCATTTTACAAATCCACTGAAGAACATAGCTCAAAGTTTGAGAATACTTTCGCCATCAGCGGATTAACTAAATATAAGTGTTTAAAAGTGTTCAGTTAAGACATTTAACCAATATTTGGAAGATGTTTGTTATTGTTATGACTATTCCTAATTGATTCATACTCCTTGAATAGGTAGCAACCTTCTCGGCGAAAACATGCCATGTCCTGGCGGTGTTACATTGAATTTAAAGCTTTACAAGTATATTTGATAATGATGTTAAGTGTAGTTTACCATTGTACTTATTTTGAGCAACCTTCATCTTATCTTACATTTCGTTTACTGCCTTTAAACTAGCAGGTGATTGAACGTGTAATTTATTTCACCTGGGTATCTGACAAGTAGATCCTGTGTCAATGAATGTCGAGTTTGTAAAAATTCTCTTTTAGTGAACAGAATTTTTCTAGGTCTTACATTCATTCATTCATTCATACATACATTCAAATATTCAGAAATGAAAAAAAGACGTAGGATGCTCCATGAAAAAAGTCAAAAGACGAATTAAATGAAAGAATAGGAAATTAAAATCAAAGTGGAAATGAATCAAGAATACATTTATGTACTGTGTTGGATTCTGAATGAAAACAACTATAGTCTCTAAGCTTAGGTTACTGTGTTCACATTTATCCTAGATATGCAACTTAAACTGCCATAAACAACTCAGCTGGATAGTTAGTGACTTCACATAACGGTTACACGTCTAGGTCTGTTAATATGGAACACAGGTAGGCACTTAGTGGATATGGATAACACATATTCCAATCACCAAAATCGATGGTGACTTACAATTTTCTCAGCTCACTTACCCGTCTTATCAAAGATTCTTCATGCAGATATTACAATTAGTCATATGAATTACAAAGATTACAATACAATGGTGACGCTGGTTAGAGTCTTGAAATCTTTCCATATTCACCATTTTTAACCATCATTTCATGGTTCCACATTGAGACAGTGACCCTCTGCCTTTTGTATTTGACTCACTAAGTATAGTTCTTCCGGGTTGAGAAATATAGTTGATACGTTCAGCCAGTTTACTTTTTTCATATTCAGATGACGTTTCCGTGCGAACCGGTCGTGAATTAGATACCTAAATCGCATGGATAAGAAATGCATTTCAGCCTGTGGGTTACACAGTAAAAAATACTGAACTTTATAAACCTATTGATTCAACAAGACTATCTAAAATTTGAATTCGTAAACTATTCAGTAAGCTCTGAAAAGAGACACGTTTTTAACTACAATTCATTTCATTCTCACTGACAACATGCTGGTGCTGGGTTATTATTATTGTTTCCTTTAGTTCCTAGAGGAACATAGGGCTTCAGCCTCATGACTCCACTGCGTTCGTTTCTCCACCAACGTTCTCACCTGGTTGCACGTCTGCTGGTCCTGCAACTTATTTTTTATATGGTCAGTAGCTGGTATCATTGAGGGGTCTTTGTATCAGTTAAAAGAGTAGCTCATAGCGTCTTGACTTTCATCAACGGTTTTCTGTTGACTCTTGGCTTGTGATGAGGACTGTTCGCATAATAATTAAAACTCCGTAGATGTAAAAAGAGGCATTACATTTAAACAGATACTATGGGTGGAAATATTGTCGTAAATTTAATTCAACAGCTGTGATGTTTCACAATTTAAAAAGATGAATTCAGGTATCTTCTGACGTTTCTAACTTACTTAATCGGAGAAATAAGGTTACTTAAATTGACTAAATTTCGAATAGAGGTATTTCAGTCAGTCACTGTGTAATTTTGAGGAGAAAAAGGTTACTTAACCGATATGAAAGTCTACAGAAGTAAATGGTGGAAAACATATCAGTGAAAAGGTAAAAGAGAAACAACATTTAACACGAGTTGAGGTGAAACTATAAACATGAAGTTATGCAAAGTAAAAGACAAAAAGATAAGTAACTTTTGGAAGGAAAGAATGAAGGTATTATCGATTACCAAGGTAATAACAAGTTTTTTATTGTTTTCTTTAGAATATGTTTATATAAGTATCATTTTTCTGGCGGTGATATTTATAGTACTTTGAAGGTATCTGTCTGTCTAGTTCTTTAAAAGATCGCAGTATGTCTACTTGATTTCTTACACAAAGTAGATGACGATCTAAGTCACTGTAAAGTGAATTTGAACTAGTGAGCAATAGACTCACTGATTTACGCGTCTTTAGCAATCCCCGTAGACAAATGACACTCTGTTTCTTCTATACACATAGTTGAGGCTAAAGCTAGGCAGAAACTTGTACAATTTAACTCAGTAAGAAAATTAAAGCTAGTGAAGTGGCTTTCAGTGTTGCACTACTCATTTACCAGTTCAGTTGATGTATCTTCATAAATTTCAAAGTTTGGCTCGAAAGGATTTCATTGGTTTCATGTTTGATAACGAGTTGAAATCAGTCAGAGAAAAATTCGAAAACCAAAGAGTACTGGAGAGCATCTTCATAAATCAGATTCTGAAAAAAAAACATCAGGTTTTTCTTGTTCAGCCTTATACTTCGATCTTTTTCTACTATTTTTTACATTATTTTTCCAAGAAATACATAAATAAAGATTAAGCAATCATTTTCTCATCAAATTAGATTGTTAGATATACAAGTCACTAGTATTTTCTAATATCTCGCACATAATCATTCACTGGAACCTCCTTGCCAACCATCCAGACCACAGACATCCTCAACCTATCCCTGGTTTCAGAAGACTTAGGCTAATACGCAGAATATTATGCATTGTAACCGGAGCCAAACAACAGAAAACGGCTGAGCAACACGGCTGTTTATTCTTCGACCGATAACGAAACAGATTTACAATGGTCAGTCAGTGCCAAAGTCTGTAAATAAACGTTAATATTATGTACAACAATACTTCTCATCGTATTTCTCCAATCTACCTCCAACCAGTACACGATTAAGCAGTGACGGCCTTCTTGTCTTTCACCAGTATGGAGACCAGTTTGAACAAACAAACGATTCAGTGTTCACCAGCATTGACAATCCTAGTTAGTTTAACACTACAGAACATAGAAAACAGCATTTGTTCCGAAATTTCGTTTTCATTGGGAAAGACTTTGTATGAAAGCTACTCATGTGACGTAAATCAAAAAGACATTTGTCAGGAAAGAATATTCTTTCCATAACTTCTATTCGAAAGTGAACAGTTATATAATGTTGTAAAACGTTGAGGGATTGTCAGTAAGGTCAGTTAGTCATATCAGTTGGTAACAAAACATATGCATCCAATTACCAAGTAAAATTACAAAGTACATACTCTAAAAATGGTCGCCATTAAAAAGTCAAAACATGATAAACGCTCAGAAACAAGAACATTTCAGAAAGGAATAAGTAGTTTTTAATACTTATAAAGTATAAATTAAAGTATTAAGTTGGAAAGGAAGAAAAAGGAAAATTTAAGGCCACAGTAGTTAGAGACTGTACAAACCACATCTGCGTATACGGTTCAAGGCTTTCCTTATGTATGGTAAGAACTTCTGCTGTCGACAGAAGAAATAGCAGGAAACCCTTCAGACATCTTGGCCTTT